GATAACCTTTTTTTAAAACTACCTGATCTCTTTATGAACAAAAAAGTTATTAAAAGAGAGTCAACTATTAACTTTCTAGGAGTGATATTAGATGAAAATATATCATGGAAATATCATATTAGATCTATTGAAAATAAAATCTCCAAAAATATTTCAATGCTATATAAAGTTAAACCTTTTCTTAATACGGAATCTTTAAAAATTATATATTTCTCATTTATTTATAGTTATCTTTCCTATTGTAATCTTGCATGGGCAAGTACCAATTATGGGAAGCTCAAAACAATTTATAGCAAACAAAAACATGCTTGTAGGATTATTTTTGGCGTTAACAGAACTGTTGATGGTGAATCTCTTTTAAAGAAACTTAATGTGCTTAATATTTACAAACTTAATATATACCAAGTTATGCTATTTACGTTTAAAACAAAACATGCGTTATCTCCTAATATATTTCAGTCTTACTTTACCGAAATATCTCATAAATATCCCACTAAATTTTCATCTGATAAATTTGTTATTCCAAGATCTTATTTAAAACTCAATTCATTTCAAATTCAATACCGGGGACCATTTATATGGAAAGGTTTTTTAAAAAATATAATTAAAAATAAAATTCTTCGAGGCATCTCCTTAGAACAATTCAAAAGAGAATCTAAATGTTTTCTATTAGAAAAAACTTTCGGTTTTAAAGATTTCTTCTAAAATCACCTAAAATAACTAAACCTGAAAAAGTCATCATTACTCATTTACTATTGTCTTGTGTATCTTGTTTATTTCTTATTAAAATAAAAAATATATATACTATTAATTTTGAACAGACAAATAACATTTATTCGATTTATTACTTGTGTCTTATATTTGTCGAACTAATATTGTATTGTACTTCAATTTTTAACCCTTTAGTTTTTAACTTGTAACTTTGTGACGTTAATGTAAACGTGGCTTGGCGATAAGACAGTTTATGTCTTCTTCTTGCTCCGGCCAATTTTTATACATAAATGGTTTTTTCTCATTGTAAATTTAATTATACGGCAAAGAAAATATAATAATAATAATAATAATAGCTTTTCGGCTGAATTTTTTCTTCTTGAATATGTTATTGAATCTCTTTTCTTTCGAAGTAAAAGTTGACAATGATTTGAAGATTGCAGAAATGAAGTTTTAAATGCCACTGAGTTGTTGTAGCTCTCAAAAAACTTACTCTTAAATAATTTTATTTGGTGTAAAAACTAATCGAAAACCGAAAATTAGATTTGTACTCTTAAAATCAGTGCCGGATCAAGGGGAGGGCCCCGCAAATTTAGGGGCCCCCGCAAATTTTAGATGACTTTTTTTTTTTTTTTTTTTGTTATTAAAGTTATTTTTAGGCTCTGGTCCATAAAAAGGCCTCCAAAAACAAAAATATCCCCGGGCCCCAAGAAGTCTTGTCCGCCACTGCTTAAAATGCTTTAAATTCTAACTCGGATATTTGACTTAAATAAATAAATATAAATATATATCTTTTCAATATTTCTTTTTATTTTCTTTTTCGTTCTTGTTTACAATTATATTTAAATAAATAAATTTTTCAATAAGTAATAATAAGAAGTAATAATAATTTAAAATATCAAAAGCGCTGGGACTTGAAGAAGATCGGATGATCTTATCACCGAAAACCGCTGAAGAAAATCTTAAAAGCTGCTTTTAACACGTTTAGATACATATAGAAAATGAAAAATACTGATACATATAGAAAATGAAAAATAAGGACAGTTAAAATTACATACATCAATACATAAAAGTGGAGTAAAAAATTACATTATTGTAAACATTATTGAAGGATGATAACTATAATTTTCGAAAATATCGAAATTAAAATTTTTTTTTTAATTTATTTTATTAAATATTAAAACAAACGAAAATGTTATCTTTTGAATTTATTATTAACAAAAGACAAGGATGATTGCTTTATTAGAGGTTTAGTTGATAATATTTAGTTAATGATGTTATAAGTGGTATGTTACAATTAATGATGTTATAATGAATGATGATTAGTTTACTTTAGTTGTTAAATGTTGAACACAGAACGAAATACTATACTAGGCAAAATTTAATTAAAGTAACTATACCAGAAGAGAAATTAATATATACAGAAGCGATACTACATAATAAATAAAATAAAAATAACGATACAATATAAGAAATTAAAAAACGGGAGCAAAACCATACATTAAGTTAAATTAAAATTGGTAATATTAGAAACATTAAATGATAAATATGATATCAATCGATACCACACAATACTGGAGAATTTCTATTATACTATATCAGTCATTTATATAGGGGAGATTAGGACAGGAAACGCGTGTAGGAAATGGGATCTCAAAATCTCAAAAGTTCAGATTAGAAGAGGTCTCTAATCAATTTTGTTTAATGTAAACAATTAGATCCTTTCATCTCTATTTAGAAAACATCGTATGTGGTAAAAACATAATTTTTGAAAAGTACCCCAAAGAACAATTTTTTTTGGGGCGTAGTAGGACAAATAAAATTAAATGATACCTTATTTCCAGTATAATTTTTGTGTAATTATATTATGGACTGTGGCCCAAACGAGGGTCGCCTGATAATTTTCCAGAGATCGCCAATAGACCTTCTGAAAATAATTTTTTTTGATAATCAGTGGGATTATTTTATAATTTTAGATTTAAACTCCTACTCTGACAACAGAAGTAGTTCTTTATAACTCTGTAACCTAAACTTTAAAGTTAAGAGCTTTAAGTGTTTTCAAATCTTTAATGTATAATGTACTGGATATTCTAAAAAGGATTAAATGTTTACAGCGTAAACATTTTATTCATTTACAAATATTAAACAACACGTATAACAAATTGTTTTGTAAATAAATTATTATAAATTAATTATAAAAAAATTTGTAACAAAAAAGTGTGGTACCTGTTAATAAAATCTGGTATTAAAAAAGTTTAAAAACATAATATTTAGCTATAAAAGTCGTTTAGAAACAACTTTATTAACTTTATGGTTGGGATCTTAACTTAACGTAACTTTGTAAATAACATCAAAGGGTTGCGGCATTGGAAGGGCTGAGAATCGCTGCTCTAAAATCAAAATTTATATACTTTATAATAAACTGTTTTCAATTTTAGGGATTGATATCAATACCCAAAATTTATTTGTTAAACCTTTGATAAAAATAAAATACAAATTTTCGTAAAGAACCGAGTTGCAATACCGAGTTACAATTGGTATCGCAAGTCGGTACCAAACAATACCAGCGTTATTTTATATATTAAATATAACGAATTATATAAACTTGCCTCAGTTTGAACAATAGAAAACTATGCCAAACTTATTAACCAATACTTTTAATACCAGAATTGCGTGATCTTGATATCGATAGTGTCAGGTATCGCACCAATGCCAGATGATCAACTTTTATTAATAATATGCAAAATATTTGTCATAATTATGTTTGGTAATGCCATATATAATACTTTTTTTAAAGATACAATACGGTTATGTGGGTATTTATACTTTATTTGTCTTTGGTGAATTTTAAATGTTTTAAGGTTTGAAACAATTTGTAACAGCGAGTAGTTTGGCATAATTGGATTGATAATCGGGCAAACATTGTACAGAAAAAATAAAATTTCTTAAATATGCAAATAGCTATGGGATCGATATTCGGACAAACAAACAATTTGACGAAACCAAAACGGTACTAACGCTACTAACTTAATCTGTTGTTTTTTTTTAAAAAAAAAAAAAGACGTGGTATATGTACAGGTCTGTAACAATAGCTTTTATAAAGGGATGTACGGCATTTTCGTTTAAAATTTTTTTGAACGACGCAAACTTCTTTTTCTCAGCGCTTAGTTTTGCGTCATTGCATCAAAACATGTTTATCTTTAGAAGTCTTGCGTCATTGCTTAAAAAACTCTATACCTTTAGCACTTAAGCCCGTTCTCCATTCAGAACTTTTTGCGCTTTGGAGGAGCGGAAAAGTTTTTTGAGCAGCGCAAAAAGTTCTGATAGGAGAACGGGTTTTAAAAAACTGTTTGCGCATGCTCAAAGAACTTTTCCGCTTCTCCAAAGCGCAAAAAGTTCTGAATGGAGAACGGGCTTTAAGCTAAATAGGTTTTGCGCCGTTGAAATATTCGTACGAAACTGCAGTAAACCGCGAGATAAGTTTTAAGAAAAAAAGTATGACCGTTTTCTTGCTGTTTAATTAAAATTCATAATTGGAACTTTTTTCTTTAAAATTTAAATATGAAAACCAAATGTTATAGTTTCTTTATCTGTTATTACGATCTAATATTTAAATAAATGATAGATTCTCAAAATCTTTATTTTTATAACTTAGCACTTTTTAAAAACAAAATAAAAGATTTCAAAATACGTACATTATAAAAACGGCATTTTTTATGTTTTAAGCACGTTTTATGAGTAGATGATAAAATCTAAATAAATCTAACTCTATTTATACTAATAGTCATTTCATCACAGGCAGATTAAATAGGGATTGACTAGACTGAGTTATTTAGATCATCACTTCGAGACAGACATTCGGTCATAATTTCTAGACTGACTTGTGAGGTCATCATTTCTAGACCGATTTAAAAGATTTATTTTTTATTTTAATTCCTTGTTTTATTTTAACTTTTTAAATTTATATTAATAAATAATTTGTAGTTTTTCTTAACACCGGTGTTATTGATTTAACTTCTCTTGAATATTTTAAGATATGAGCGTCTAAAAATATATTTTTATTTGGGTAAGACTCAGTAAAATAAAATTAACGTATAACGCAGTGTTTATATGAATCGCTAACTTGAAAAAGGGGACATGTCCTGCAAAAATTCACATAACATGTCCCCTTTTTTAAGTTAGCGATTCATATATATTAAAAAAAAAACGCATAATATTTTTGCTTTATTAGTAATATATTAGCTTGGAAAAAAGTTTTTTTTAACTTTATTTAGTAATTACATTTCATATCAATATATTTTTGAACAATAGTTTAAAATCAATAATTACATTAAATTTATCAGGTATAATAAAACTGTCCATAACTTAAAGATTCGTTGAAAAAATTTTATTAATTAAAAAAAAAAAAAACTAACCAGAAGAAAATCATTAAGACAATACAAAAGAAAAAAAAAATCTATAAAGAAAATAAAAGAGAAAAAAAATTACTGTAAACAGGAGTAAATAAAAAGTTTTATGGCAAAAGTTTTTCAACTTAGATTTTTATACTTAATTCAGTTTTTAATTGCAACTATAATTGTAAAAAACCAAATATTTTACAATTGATTAAAAGTTACCATCTTCGTCAGATGAAATTCGCTGTCTTTTTCGAGGTTGAATATCGTGAATGCTGGCATCACTTACACTGGCCTCAGAATCAACACTTAGATCACCAAAGCTGTATTTCGCTCTAGGATGTTTGATAACTTCTTTTTTAGCAGAGTGTCGACAGCGTGCTTAAAAAAAGTTAATACCATAATAAAACAACTTTAAGAAGAAACGTTTAATTGTTTCAAGGACTTTCATATAATAACCCATACAACAATTTATGAGTTATAAAATTTGTATAGAACACTCACACACTTACCTTGTATAATATTGGAACAATCAAGTTCAGCTACTTCGCGTGCTTTCTCTCTCTCTAATCTAATTTTCTTACATTTTTGAAGTGTTGGTCTACCTAAAATTTCAGACTCGATAACTTTATATTTATTTAAAAATAGTTAAACTTTGTTTAAATAAGACTTAATTAGCAGCCACAAATATTTACACAAACTTATTGTTCTGTTTTTTATACTACTTGTTTTTAAACTTTTGTAAAGCATTGAAATATAAAATACAAACTATACATGTAAGAAAAAATGTACTTGGATGTATACAAAATTGAAAATAAAATCCATTCGTTCCCTCAGTATTATCTTGTTCTATATACAAATGTAATAAATAAATTGTTTTTCTAATATTAAAATAAATACAAAAAAATTATATATAAATAAATGCAGTGTTCTATGTAATATAATATATTATATGAGATAGAATATTGTATTTATTTATATACATATATGCTTTTGTATTTATTTTATATATTAGATAGAACATTTTATTTATTATATTTGTAGTTAGAACAAGATAATAGGGGGACGCATTAGTGCCCATAGCAAACATCTAAACGTCCACTAAACGCGATACGATATCATTTAGAAACAAGGGTTTTCATCATTATATCAAAACTTATAAGATTCTTGCTTTTTAAGTGCATGTATTTGTACTTTTTATATGAAACTCAATATTTTTTTGTTTAGCTATACTACATAATTTACACTTTGACGCAAAAACTCAAAAAAATTACTCAGGTATAAAAAAGATACCAGCGTTAATGATCTTTGATAAAAAAAAAAGCATTACAATGATTTGGTACAAAATAAACTCATCCTGGTGATGTACTGTAGTAGACCTCTACAAAAAAAATCAGAATTTTCTATTAAATTTATTGTTTAACAATAAATCTTGTTTGATATAAAATAGCATTTGTTTCTCATAGTTTCCAGTGTTGAAAAATTATTCTTTGTATACCTTTTCTGCTATCTTCTATTAAGCTATATTTTATTAAGTCGTTTTTATTGACAAAATTGAAATTTTCTCAATATATCAGGGTTTGTTCTAAAAATAATTAGCATTATTATTTCACATTTTTTCTTATGCATATTTAACAGTATTAACGTGTAATTAAATTCAGTTTATAATATTAAACATTTAAAAAAAATGCATTTAAAAAAGTAAGTCTTTTTTAATTTTAAAACTGCTTTTCATATTTTTTTTTAAACTCATTTTAAACTTGCTCATTAAACTAAGTATAATATATATAATATAATATAAAGTCATTACACACTAAATTATTGGGTGATAATTTTTATATTATGTAATAAATTATTTTATATATTAAATATAACGAATTATATAAACTTGCCTCAGTTTGATCAATAGAAAACTATGCCAAACTTATTAATTACATAAAACTTAGTCTGAAATTTGCAGACATGCAGTATTATAGGACGTTCTACATTAACAACGCCCATACTACTTGAAATGAATTTCTATTTGAATTTTGCTAAATATACAACTTGTTATGAAAAATCAAAAATTACATATCTTAAGTTTACTTAATACAAATGATTGCTTTTTGAGTTGAGATAATATAAACGTTTGCTTTTTGAACAACGACAACCTCAGGTTCAAAAGATACTATACCAACATCTTTGAGTTGAGAGAAAGTATATGTATGTGCAATGAAAGTATTTGTATTTAAACAGTTGAGTTGAGTTGAAAGAAAGTATGAGTTAGTTGAGAGTTGAGTTAGTTGAGAGAGTTGAGTTGAGAGAAAGTATGTGCAACAGGTGTATGTGCAAAGAATCAAATTTTCTATCGAATAAGTAAAGTTGTTAATGAATAAATTGATAGCTAGTATGAAAACCCAAAGAGCACTATAGTCTAAAGAATTTTTCTAAAACGGAATATTTCATAAGTTTTCATAATGCTTGTTATGCCTATATACTCGTAACATTAATGTTACGAGTGTATGCTTGTAAAGTTAATGATACAAGCGCATGCTTGTAACATTCATGTTACGAGTATATAGGCATAATGAGCATCACGAAAACTTATAAAATATTCAATTTTTTTATTTAATAAGCAATTTTTTATGAATAAACAGATAGCTTGGGCAAAAGCTGAAAAACTTTAGCAAAAAGCTTTTTAAAAAAGCAATCACATGGCTTGCCATGTTTGTCTTTTAAAAAATATTTGAATTTGAATTTTCATTACAAAATAAAATAAAAGTTGTAAAATAAATGAAAAATACCTTCAACACCAATATCTTTCAAAATAGAAAGTAATTTATCTTCTTTTGATTTGACAGTCTTGCAGTTTTCAAATAACTTTGCATAATTGTTGATGCGGTAGTCACACATTTTCAAGTACTTTTTTAAATTGGCAAGTTTCTTTGAATACTCAGTATTCTTAGTAAAATATAGGTAAAAGAATCATTGAACACCGCCAAATTCTTAGTAAATAACCAAATTAATCAATTTATATAATCATAGTTGCCTTATGTAAAAAATTTCCTATTTTTAAACCTATTTAACTATATTTTTAAACCTATTTATTTATATTTTTAAACCTATTTATTTATATTTTTAAACCTATTTATTTATATTTTTAAGCCTATTTTCTTTTTTCTCAATATTAAATTTCTAGTATTAAACTAATCATGGTATTTCTATTACATTAGTTTTTAAATAAATTAGATGTTTGACAACATATACTCATTTACAACTTTCAAAGGATCTTAAAATAAAGTTTTTTTTCAATAAAATATTGCTAAAAAAATAGTTGTAATATGTTACCTTTTTTTCATCTTTAGTAACATTAAACTTCCTTTTCTTGTTACTTGGTACACTTTCTGTCTAAAAAATTTTTTGTTTAATGTAAATAAAAAATTTTCTGTCTAAAAAAATTTTTATTTATGCTACTACTTCAACTACGACTATCAATGGATTTTATTTTATTAAGAATAATAAAATAGAAACATAAAAAATAGATTTATAAAAAAAATTCAAACAAATTTTTTTAATAAGATGCTCATTTAACTGCAAGTCTGTATGCTCTGTCACTATGAACTGTTGCTATAATTCTCTTATATCTCTCTTGTTCTCTCAAATTTTAACACTGAAGCCCAAGCTTTAAAGAACAAAGTCATTAGAGCAAAAAAAAAACAAAAAAGTTGAGTATAAAACTTCCAGAGACATCTTGAGTTTGAACTTTTCATCTCTCACTTACCAAGCAAGCTACCAATGTGTTTGATTAAAACGAACCTAACAGGATTTATGCAGCAGAACTTTTTTTTGTAACGTAAATTGAGTACTATTTAATAAAACATTTTTTAAAGACTTCTTAAATTTAAAAACCTTTATAAATTAAAATTTTTTACATTTTTAATAATAAAAAATACATAACTATCACAAAAAAATAATAATAAGGTACAACATATTACTTAAAAAACTTGACAAATAAGTATCTCTTTGCATACTTCCACTCGACTAGTAGTTTATGTAACTGTATTGTCTATCTGTTTATATTTTCACATCTTTATATTCTTTATAATTAACAATATAATTATTATATATATTTAACAATATAATTATATATATTTAACAATATAATTATTATATATAATATATACTCATACAATATATATATATTTATATATATAACATATATAATATATATTTAACAATATAATTATTATATATAAATATTATAATGTTTAACTATTTATATACTGGACTAATTTTTGTATTTATTATTTATACTACTTGAAAATGATTATGTTTTTAAAAAAAACCTTCTGTTAAAACAAAAAAAATCTTATTTTTATTAATATGATTAAGCAAACAACAACAACAACAACAAAAATAACAATAACAATAGTATTAAAAATAACATCAATAACAATAATGATAAACAAATCTTTATACTAAAAAATAATCAAAAAAAATATATATTTATATTTGGTAGTACATCTTCTTTAAGATTGCCACAAGACAAGTTGCAATAAATATCTTGAACACATACTGTTAAGTTTTGCAAAGGTTTATCTTCAATATTATCACTCTCATCTAGACTGGCAGAAGAAAGAGAATCAGCTGATTGAAATTCACTGCCACTAATCCATGGTTTTGAAAAACTTGTATATTCTTTTTCACATACAGCAGTTGAAGAAAGCATACTGTTAAAAAAAACAACAGCTAAAAAAATAATAAATGCTTGTAAAATAAAAAAATAAAATTCGAGCAAAAGCTAAAACATAAATAACTAAACCATAAAAAAGAAACACTAAAAACACTATGGTATTAAAGTTCTTAACTTGTTACCTTTGAATTTAAGAACTAATAAATGACATTTAAAGGCATTCAACAAGAGGCATTTTAAATTTTAATAATAATTAGATAAAGATTTTTGATAAAAAAATATTAAAGATAACTCTTTTTTAGTAAATATAGAAAAAAAAAAGTATTTGTAGTTGGATAAAAAAACTTTAAAGTTGCAGCAAAACCTTTTTATTAACTTTTTAAGAATTTTTTTTTTTTTTTGCAAAATAATCTTTTACTATCTACTTACTTTAATGTAGGAATAATAAATAAAATCAGCACAGAAAACTGTATATTAAATGTAATCAAACCAGCACACAAAACATTTATTTAAAATGCACCCTCACTTGTTTCTCTTCAATTAATGAATTCTAATTTATCCCTTTCTAATTTGATTGACTTAATATAAAATATCAATAAAAAACCAACTTAATATAAAACATTATGTTGGTCATATTAAAAATCAACCTGATTAACCTAACATTTGATTTTTTACCCATTTTAAAATGATCAACAAAAAAAGCCTTCAATAATCATTATTCAAAACACACATGTTGTTCTTCAGCATGTTGTTCTTCAGCATTACTATTTTTACAAATTTTTCTAAATATCTTACAAATTTATCTGTAAAGGTATTGATTTAACTTCTTATGAAGTTTATTACTGCAAAGCTTATGTTTATTTATATTTTATTATGTTTATTTCAAGGCTTATTTGCATTTACATCATTGTTCGCTAGAGGTACCTTAAATTTACATTCAAAAGAATAAGTGTAGTTCTTAAAACAAGATAAATGGTGATGTTAAAAATCTCAAACTCATATCAAAGGTGAATGTGAATTTTCAATCACTGATAGTACGCTTTAAAACTTTTTTTCTAACAAATTAAAAATTGTTTAATGTATCTGCTTTTTGGTGTGCAGTTCTTGCGTACAATTGATATTACATTTAGATATTCTAGGCATAAATTAAACTGTTAGTTAAATTTATGCTTCCTATGACTTAGCATAAATTAAACCATTAGTTAAATTTATGCTTCCTATGACTAAGCATAAATTAAACTGTTAGTTAAACTTCCTATGACTAGGCACAAATTAGTCTGTTAAAAATTTTCTAGTAAAATAATAACATAATTTACAAATCTTATCTGATAATTTATTTTTTTTAATTCAATATAAGTAAAGAGTAGATATAGGTAAAGAGTATATAGATGAAAAAAAAGTAATTATAAACTTAGGCTGCTTATAGCAAATTTAACTATTTGATATAAGCAGTTATAATTAAATTTTTTTTTCTGAAAACTCATATTTAATTAATGTAACAAAAATATGGTAACAATTTGTTACATAAATATGCAATTGCAGATCATTTATTGTAGAACCTTTTTGGTAATATCACAAGTGTAATAATTCATAGGCTAGAAAAACCCATAAATATCTATATAAAAAACTTCTTTTAATACTCAACTGCAAACAATAAACATAAAATAGTACTCTATGGAAACTGATTTAAATACATAAAAAAAAATTCCTTTAATTACTATTTTTATTTCCATAAAACAATATTATACGCAAGTCCTACACATTAAAAATATAAATAATTTAATGTACAAACAAACCTGATAATATGAATCTGTTACCATAACAACAAGTTTTTACATAAATTTACAAAAAATGCTTATAGAAATTCAGTTATTATTTGATTTCTCTCAGGTCAAGAATATTTTCTTCATAAAAAAATCTTCATTGTTAGCTGTAAGATTGATATTGTATAAAAACATATTTGAGTTATAAAAAAGTAAAAAAGCACATAAAACTAGTGAAATATACATCAGCAACATCGATAAAAATTTTAAGAATAGTATGAAAAAATGAGGGAAAAAATTAAAATGCAAAAATAATTCAACAGTTGCGAAAAAAAAAATCTTCTATCATACAAACTATGTTACAAAAGATTAAATATAACTCTGTAAAAGCATTCTAAGCAAACATCATTTACAAGAGAAACCTTGAAAAATTTTGAAAAAAGTGAAGTGTAAAATAAATAAAAAATAGTTAACTAAAAAAAAGTTAGTTACTAGAAAACCACAAAAGTTATAAAAAGAGAATCATCAGAGTTATTTCAATTAGAAAAAAAACAAACTGGTAAAAGTTAAAACATTAAAATAACTTAATTAAAATTGATACAAAATCTGTCAGAAGAGAGAACTTTCTAAAATCAAAACCGTTTGAATTATATCCATAAAAAATTTATTTTACTTAGATAACTTAGAAGGTGTTCTGTTTTTATCACGCTGTTGTTGGTGTTCTAACATTGACCGATTTAATGCTCCAGTCATGTTCTCATCAATGCGCGTGTATTCACTTCTTTCATACATTTCAGTTTGAGGCTTTGATGTACTATGTACAGGTGATACAGGACTTGTTTTATTATTCCCGCGATATGGATCTTTACCACTTACCATAATGTAGTTTAAGCGATTAACATTTTGAATTTTAGTTTTTGGAGACATGAGATTCAAATAGTCACTGGTTTGTTTAGTCCGTGTCACATTATTAACATTTTCGTAGGATCCATCCCCATATGTGACAGCATCAGAACTATGACTTAAGCGCTCATCTTTTAGAGCCCTTACAGCATGATATATGCTAGGATCTTCGTCATCATACTTTTCAAATTCATTTTTATAGTTTTTTAAATGTAAAGCTTTCACTAATTTTGAATTATGAACTTGATCTGAACTCACATTCACATAAGAGTCGCTATCCTCATCACTGTGGTGCTTGCGATTTATGTTAGTATTTTTATTGTTTCTATCAAAATCCAATGAATCATTTAAACTGTTTCCCTTTCGTCCTTTTACATTAACATAGTCTACAATAGGACCATCCCCGGTTGCCATTTTCCATGTTTCAACACTAATTGGGTCTGATAAATGTTTTGCTGAAATATTTTTTCTGCGCGGTATAGTTCTATCAGTATTTACAAAAAATACATTATCATCACTAAGATTTAAAACGTCAACATTACCATAAACAGGTTCGTTTTCAGTTAAACAAGTTTTTTTATCTTTAAATGAAGAAACATTATTTTGGTTTAAGACAGTGCAGTCATTTGATTTAACTAAGTTACTATCTAAGACATATGTAACTGTTTCTAAATTATTTAAGTTATTTTCAACTTTATCAAGATTCTCATTAGAAAAATTAAAAACCGATTGTCCAAGACTAATTGGAGATCGAGGAGGAGGTGTTGGCATTTGTTCTGATTCATTTTGCTTTATACTTGTCTTTCTAATTTTTCCAAGAGAAGCTCTTGATGTCGGCTTATATCCTGTTGTGCGTTCTGCAGATTTGTATTGAAGAGAGCTAAAGGTATCACTTTTATCAGTTTGGCAATCATTTGAATCAATTTCTTTATTTGTATCTTCATTTAAATCAAGTTTTTCAACTTCATTTTGTGAAGAACTTTTTTTCTTAATAACAATATCCCCAGTATTGGATAAATTACTTTTTAAACATTGCTTTTTTTCTTCAAAATCAACGTGTAAAATATCTTTTGTATGATGATCGTTAAGTGAACTACTCACTGAATTAATGTGCGAACTCTTCTGAGGTAAGGGTGGAGGGGCCTGTGATAAAGGATGAGTTTGACACCGTGATAATTGAATAACTTCATTCATGCTTTCTGGATCCAAAATAATATTAATATTTTTATGTCTATCTAAACTGCGAAACTTAGACTCATCGTTAATTGAACTAAAATGTTTTGCTGTAGTGTTTTGCTTTTTATTTTTTTTTTTACGTTTCATATGATTACTTGCACGTAGAATAACACGTTGAAAAAAATTTTGGTCACCAACATTACGCTTAGCTCGTTGTAAATCATCTAAAAATCCTGAACCACGAAAATCATCGCTACGCACCATTTCTATAAATTGAAAGGAATTTTTATTGATTAATTACAGATACAGTGCCTTTTTGCATTCCTAATTTAAACCATTTTAATGCTTATATTTTACTAATTAAGAAGTAATTGACTATTATAGTGAATTTTTATTTCAATTTATGTGAGTGTTTTACTCCACTAACAGTTAAAAAAAAGCTAACCCTAATAATGTATGTAAACATGTACGAAACATTGTTCACACTTTAAAAAACAGGAGAGTTATTGAAAATTAAAAGAATTTAAAATTTAGTTTTAATGCTGTAAAATGCAAGAAGGCATATGGCATATGGTAGCAGGTAATTTTATATGTAAATATTAAAAAAAAAAAAAAACTAAAATCTAAATTTTATAAGATTATTAATTATTCTTCTAAAATTATAATAATTTAGATAAATTTAAAAACTTTATTTACCAGTGTCATCACTGCCATTTTGATTGGTATTAATATCAAATGCTTTTGCAATTTCATAAGCATTGTTAGGAACCAAAAGATTTACAATTTGACTTTTAGACTTGGTAGCAATTTCAAAAAAAAAATGAGAGTTGTCTAATGCAGAATAACGCAAAATATCATTTGAAAACCAACGACTAATGCATTTGTAGTGCTTGTTAGTTATTATTGAAAAGAAGGTAGAATATAAACGAATTGTAGCATGACCAGATTTTAAACATTGCTTATCCGGAATAGAAATATCGAAAGTCACAGCTTTATAAAAATAAAAAACAAAAACACTACAATAAAGATTAGTAAATAAAATAAAATAGCTAAAATAAAAATAAAATAAAAATAACCTAAACACCAATACATAAACACATACACAATGCCAACAGCCTTTTGTTAAAAATGTCAAAGAAAACAGATCATGTATATGCACATGCAAACTGCTGTTTTTAAGCAACATACACAATGTTGTTTAAAGTTAATTTTGTTTGTGTGTGCTTAAAAGACTTTGTATTTGGCTTTTAATGCTATAAAACCAATTGAAATAATACAAGCTCTTTGAAAACTCTTATTTTAAAAATGTTTTTACTTCATTGAGAACAGAGAGGTGGAATGGTAGATTGATAAAAGATAGATAGATATAAATTTAAATAAAACCCTTTTTATGTGTTGAGAATTCTGTCCAAGATTTGTAATGACGCTCTACCAAATGTATGAATAATTATTATGAATGCACTATTAAATGATGAAGTTTACACAGCCACTTTTATATTAAACTTTAATTATATTTTATATTCAGGTTGTTATCATATTTTATATTCAGGTTGTTATCATATTTTATATTCAGGTTGTTATCATATTTTATATTCAGGTTGTTATCATATTTTTTATTCAGGTTGTTATCATATTTTATATTCAGGTTGTTATCATATTTTTTATTCAGGTTGTTATCATATTTTTTATTCAGGTTCTTATCATATTTTTTATTCAGGTTGTTATCATATTTTATATTCAGGTTGTTATCATATTTTTTATTCAGGTTGTTATCATATTTTATATTCAGGTTGTTATCATATTTTTTATTCAGGTTGTTATCATATTTTATATTCAGGTTGTTATCATATTTTTTATTCAGGTTGTTATCATATTTTTTATTCAGGTTGTTATCATATTTTATATTCAGGTTGTTATCATATTTTATATTCAGGTTGTTATCATATTTTATATTCAGGTTGTTATCATATTTTTTATTCAGGTTGTTATATTTGTCTTTAAATTCTCAAGATTAAAGTTTTAACACTTTTGTGTTAATTTTATTAAGTTATTAATAATCTAGTTGCTCTGACATTTTTATTAATGTTTTTTATTGTAAACTCTGATACACACAAACATATATATAAATACATGCATACATAATACATACATAGACACACACTAACATATATATATATATATATATATATATATATATATATATATATATATATATATATATATATATATATATATATATATATATATATATATATATATATATATATTATATATACATATATACATACATATATATATATATATATATATATATATATATATATATATATATATATATATATATATATATATATATATACATGCATATATAAGTCAGATAAATAAGTTAAAAAACTAGTAAAATACATTCTCCAAAGTGTGCCAAGAGTAAGTTTATCCATTGCTTAAAAACTGTTTTTTGACTAAAAGATAAAAACATTGTTTGTGTAAGTGTGATGATAATCAAAACATTTTCTATTTTATCGTAATGTTGGTCTGAATTCATTCCACAGAAATCAATTAGGGGTAAACTAAGTTTCTCTTTTCCAGCTTGAGCATGAGATGCATCTTTATAAAGAAGCAAGTAGCAATATGATTCTAAAATGTAATTAAACAAAACAATATACATTATATAAAAAATATGTATCAGAAAAAATTATACATCAAATAGCATATATACATACAAATAGTACACATCAAATAGCAATCAGAAAAAAGAAAAGCATTGCCCTAAATGTCTAAGCTAAAAAATTTTAGTAAAAGATGACGCCTTTAAACTTTAGTTTGAAAATGTAAAATAAAATCCTGTAAATACATTTTAATTTATTAGTTAACTTTAATTTATAAACCAAATAAAAAATAACTCTTACTTTTTAAAAAAAGAGAATGTCTTAAATACAAATAATCAAAGCAAAAATTACCCTCCCCCCCCCCTATCTTTTAACAGTCACCTTTTCAAGATGTAAGTAAGAACATAAAAGTTTTAATTAAGAAACATACGATGTAATTAGAAATAGATAACTTGTAAATAAAAACATAAAATGTATTTGAGCATGCATAATTGATATGTAATTGAGAACATAAAAATTGAATCAAGAAACGTAAAATGTAATTGTGAAGACATGAAATCGGAATATAACCAATTAGTTTCATTCAAATTAATAATAAAACAAATTATTTATTTACAAAAAATTCTGAAACTAAAATTAAATGAAAACAATACCATTAAAATAATACTAGGGATGTGGTAGGGATCTTGAACTTCTTGCTTATGTTCTACCACTACACCACTACTGCTAAACTTACTGATAGTGTTACTGGATTTAAGTGCTGCATTAAATAAAATTGATCAGCAAAAACTATTTACAAGACTAAAAAAGCTAAGAACAAGCTTTTTCACCCTTAGCCTCAAGCGTTTATAGCAGTTTATAGCTTTAAGTAGCATTTAAATTTATAATTGTGATGGCTTATAAGTGATTGAAATCATTTTGAATTATAAAATTAGAAAAAAATTGAAAAATCATGCTAGATAAACCCATATGTAAACTATGGAGCAATATCAGGTTCATTCCAAGGTCAGAAATTTTTAATAAATGAATGAGACCTTATACTTATAACTGATGGAAAAATTTTTGAATACTATAATTAACAAACACTTAAAAATCAAGAAGAAATTATTTTAATTTTTATTTTTGAAAAACTTTACAAGCATTTCAAAATACTTACTTTATCTCAATACAATGCATTAGATAAAACAAAATCACAGCACTACCATTGATTTGGAAAAAACTACTATCAAAGCACAATATAGTAAACAAAAAATGATTTGTCTAAAAAATTAGATTGTCTAAAAAATTAGATTTGCCGAATTAGCAAAACCTTCGACAATAAAAAGAATGATTTGTGAAATTTAAATCTTTTTTTGCAATTAGACCATTTCTCTCATTACCTTATGGTTTTAACATGTTATTTTATATTTAAAAGTTGTTCAAACCATCTGTTCAAAGATGCAGGACTGTTATTATAGACAAAAACCCTCAATTAAATAACTATTAAAATACTTACAATATTTAGAAAATATGAAAAAAATAATAAAAAATTCAATACTCATTACAGATTCTAGATTTTGATTATCATCCGTTTCGAATAATCAAATTATTTATTTATATTATATTTATAATACTTAAGCATTTTTAAAATGTTTTACAACAGTTTGCAATTAAACAGAATTGTGATGTGCTATGTAAATACTGCATGTGTAATACAACATACATGGTGAATGCTCTGTAATGTATGGGTTACAATTTTCTGTACTACCAAGTATACAGGTTTGTAGATTCCAAATCAGTATTTACAAAACAGATCATAAACAATTATAAAATAAGAAATGTTTAAAAATAAAAATTAGAATTTAACCTGTGTTTTTAATGTTAGTTGTACATTTTTTAAAATAACCTTTCAGTTATTATTAAATAAGTTGAATTAGAAAAACCAAATTTGTCAAAAATATGTAGGACTTAAGAGCTGAACTTGGTAATAATTAGGGTTGTTTACCAAAAAAAAAACGTACAAAAATTTTGCATTTTTACCTTCGGTAATTCAAATTGCTATTGTGGAAGTTGTACATGCGCAAATTCACCTTCTGTAACTCATTACACAAAAAAAATAAATAATAATTCCGTAACAACGCTTTATAAAAAAAAAACTTGCAAATAAAATCCTTTCGAAAGCATTTCGGAATGTGTATTTACGGAATGGGACTCGAAAGCATTCATTAAACTGTTATTTAAAAATATGTTATTATTTATTATTTAAATAAGAATGTTGTTAAATGATTCTTCAATAATTTATACTTATATATCTAATATACATACATATATATATATATATATATATATATATATATATATATATATATATATATATATATATATATATACATATATATATATATATATATATATATATATATATATATATATATATATATATATATATATATATATATATATATATATACCAGTGTTATATATATATACCAGTGTTATATATTTATACCAGTATATATATTTATATATTTCAAGTATTAACTTTTTGGTTGTTTGTTGTCTTTGGCTTTGCAAAAATGGAGATTTACTATTTATACTCTTAATATAACAATCCAGTAAAATATTTGGTCAAATTACTAAGTTTAATTTAATTTTATGCGTTTTTTGGCTGTTGTCAGTTCTTATTAAATCTTGCAATTACTTTATCTTACCTTTCAGACTAGCTACACCTCTAAAACTTACAGCATTTTGTATAGTCCTTGTGAGCTTCTATGTTAAAATTGTTTAATTTTAACATAGAAGCTCACATGAATTTTAATATATAACTAATTTTTAGCATTCATAACTTAAATTAGGGCTTTTTTTGATTTCAACAAAGGTATTTTTCCCCAAATACGCATTTGCATTTGTATGTTAACGTTGTTCAAGTTAACTTCATAATTCTAACTCTTATTCATGAAATGACATTTAAAAAGTGTATTTTATGAAAGTCTTCGTTTATTTATAAAAGTTTACAACTGAAACTTATCAATATCATATAATAATTAGTATTTTAGTTAGTTAATTATATGTATTTGATTCATAAAACATAATTAAATATATTTATTATGCCGCGTTTTATAAGTTTTTTTCTATTAAGAACTGTTTCACAAGTTGCGGTGTGAAATAGTTTTGTTTCGAAAAGAAATTAGGTTTTTTATCATTATTTAAAAATATAAAACCTTGAATGTTAGTATCTTGAAATAATGAAAATAAAATTTTATTATAAACATTTTGGTATATAAATTTTTTTTACAATTATATCCATTTGGTCAACAAACTTTCTTTATAAAAGCGAAAGAGATTGTTTTGCAAGTGCAACTTTTGTAAGCCCTACTTTCATGTTGCAAAATAGTTTTATTTTGTAATTTAACTTGCGAAAGGCTATTGTAGCATTTGCAAATGAACATTGACGGTTTTTTTGTTTTATAAAATTCGGTATGAAAAAAAAAAAAAAATCTTGATTCTCAATATCCTTTTGAAAGAATTTTTCTGGAATTGTACGAAATCTTCCGTTTAACAACTCTAGTAACAATACAAAGCTAGTTGAGCATATTGCATAAAAATATATAAAGTGCAATACTCCTGAGACATTTTAGCAATGATTATAATTTAATAAAATGCGATCTTTTTTATTTAGTATTCAATACTAAAAAATGTTTACCATGACCAACTTTTGGAGAAACTTTTTTTAACACAGCCCATCGTTGCTTCCACTAAAATATAAAAACATTAAATATTTAAACTTTATTTAAACAAAACACTAGACTTAAACTAAGAATTACTTCATATGAATAAAATGTGGGCATTATTATTAAATATATAGCCAAAATTTATATAAATAAATGAAATTATTTGTACAACTAATTTTGAGTATTTAAACATAAGTTATTATTAATTATGGTGACAATTTTACCTAAAAATCTTGTGTAATTTTAACAGAATAATTCTTTTATATAAAGTAAGTTAATTTACTCTATTTAAATAAATATTGAAACACTTTTACTTTTTTATTTTATAGAATGCCTGCCCCTCAGCCTGCCCAATTTATGCACACTTCACTATACTCCTATTTAAGTCATTTGATGTGTGTACTCTGTCTGCATACTCCACTGCACCTATGTATGAAGTTGATTAATGTACTCTCTCTAAATACTCCACTGCACCTATCCTTATTTAAGTCAGTTGATGTATGTCCACTGCCTTAAATAGGGATAGGTGATAGATCTCCACTGTACCTATTTGATTTAAGTCAGTCACCCCTATCCTTAGATTGCTTCCACCCAAAACCCTAGCCCACCCTTCTTATAGGGGATGGTAGCGACTACTGACCAGACCATATACAGACCACTAATCACCTATATTAAATTAGAACTTAAAGAAATAACGTTTTCAATTTTAAATTAAATTAGATATTTAGATATTAAGTATCTAAAATTGAAGGCAAAATCTCAAAAATCTAAGTATCTAAATATTCAAATGAAGGTCTCTAAATTAATTTAGAGACCTTCATTTTAACCATAATGAAGGTCTCTAAAAAATTGCTGCTCTTTTTTTTCCCCCTTATCTACTATAAAGATCAGATCAAGGAGAGAGCAACCAATGTTATCTTTCTTTTTATTAAGAAATAACTTATAATTAGTTGCACCCCTCACATAGGCCTCAAACTGGATTTTTTAGGCAAATGGATATATTGTTTTTATATATATTTGAGTTTTAAACTGCATCAAGGTGCCTATATTTTCCCCATTTAGCAAGAAATATAGGCAGACAGTAGTAGCTAATCAGAAAACTTATCTGTAAAGACTTGTGGGTGTATAGAAAAATGCTACAGTTAACTTGATTTTGGCATATTTTAGCTATTTTAGGATTTTTCTCCAAAGTTGACGAGGTCATAATTTTTCTCTAATATAATACAAGTTAATAAAAACCACTTTTTTAAAAAGAGAACTATCCAGAAAATAGCTCTAGAAAAAATGAGACACTTGTTGAAAGGGAGAAAAAAATTATAAGTTCTAAAGTAGTCTATTTTAAACATTTATAAATTGAGGGGGCCACTGTGTCATGTTTCTAATGATATAATTTCTGAACAGTTGTACTTGGAAATCAGAAATTTCAAATTTAACATATCTAGCATAATGCACATAACAATATGTAAAAATCAGGAAAATCAAAGTTATGCATGTTTTGAGCAATTTTTACATAAGCACTAAGCAATTTTGGTTAAGTAACTTTTTATCTTTTTTAAATTTTAAATAATTCTATAAGCGGTAAGATAAAAGAAGTAATTTAATTATTTAATATTAACAAAAAATAAAAAAATAAAAATATTCCCTTATAGTAATTATGCAGTAAATTAATGCAGTAATTTAAAAAAGATGCCTTTAAAAAATAAAAAAATAAAGAGAACTTTATGACGCCAAATTCACATTAGGCTATTGCGTTAAGCATTTTTTATTTAAAACAAGGCCTGATGTCCCACAGGCCATGGGTTGAAATATAATAATTTGACACATATATAGAGTTGCAAAAAAACAAATTTTTCTTTAGCTTTTTTTGGGTCAAAAAAACATTTTTTTGTTTTTTTTTTTGGCAATTTTTTGGTGGTTTTTTTTTGAGAAAGAAAGCAGATATGAATATAATGAAAATAACATTTTTTGATATACGATTTATTTGCGTATATTAAGTATATTAAGTAAATACTTTATTATTTTTGCTATAAAGGACAATTTTAAAATTTGCTTTTCAAATATTTTTGCTAAACTTTACTGTTTTTATCAATACACAGTAAAGCAAGAAAAAAAATATTTATTTGTACAAGTTTTTTCATGTAAAATAATAAAAAGTCATTAATACTAATATTCAAATATAAAATATTTGGTAGTTTTCACTACCCCAATTGAAATAATCTGCACTTTAGTTAGATTCTCCAAATTGTGCAATTTAAACCCAATAGTTTATTTCCTGATGGACTTTAGTTATAGACGCTCTAAAATCTGCATTGTTATATAATGAACTTTTTAAACAAAACTTTTAGGAGCTTTTTAAAACATTTTTTTAAGTTTTTAAATACATTATTTTAAACAGAGCAATCGTTATGTTCATTATCTCTAGTAATTTGTCTTAAAGTTGAAATTTGGGTAGTGTAAAAAAAAACAATTTCAGACAGGCATCAAGTATTGTACATTTTAAAAAGAAACCATGGTATTTTTTTATTTAATTTCTTCCGTCATACAAAACTTATTAACTGAATAATATATTTTACAAATAAATAGCAATTTATTTTCTGATTTATCTATTATATAAGTATTGAGAAAGCTGTCATATAAGCATTTGAGTTGGCACATTGAGCAAGTTTTGAACTATAGTTGGCAAATTGCAAATATTGAGGATCTTTTTTTTTTTTAGGTGTTTCTAGTTTGCAAAAATATACATACACCCCCATGGAAGACCTCTTCAGGACGGCCCTGAATGGTTTCATTTCTGCCCCTGTATGTAGAGCTTAATCATAATTGATTACCAACAAGTAGAACAATAAGAAATCACTCAATAATTTTAAAAAATCCTTTCTCTCTATACATATAAATGTATATGTATATATATATATATATATATATATATATATATATATATATATATATATATATATATATATATATATATATATATGTATATATATATATATATATATATATATATATATATATATATATATATATATATATATATATATATATATATATATATATATATATATAACGGTGTCATAAAACCCCTTTAGAAACAAAATGACAATTTAGTGTTTTTAATGTGGTGTGGTTGTGTGTTAATTCTTTTTTAGATTCTATTGCAGAAAAACTACAGTTTTTATATCAAAAACAAAAAACATGAATTTCTATAAGATTTTTGATACCTTTTTTACAATTTTTTCTTGGATTTATATAAAATTTCCCTTTAATTGAGTACTAAGTTGATCTACTTTCAAAGAAATTTTTAAAAACAATATTATGGACCTGTTGAATAGAATATGAGCTTGAGCATGAGCTAAATATTGGACAATTATATATATATATATATATATATATATATATATATATATATATATATATATATATATATATATATATATATATATATATATATATATATATAGGCCTTGCGATAAAGTGTGGGGCGATGTGTATTTTACGTCATCCAAGAGCGATTTTGCGTGTAGCTAGGGCTATTTGCGTCGAGCAAAAAATTTTTTGTTTGAGTATATTTAAAGATATTTTTGAGCGGAATTTTAATGAAGTAATTCACGATTATTTTAACATTTAATAAAGTATTTTAAAAACCGCACGCAGTTGAAATAAAAGTTTGAATTAAAAAAAATTAAATATGCTCATTATTTACAAGAAGAAAAAATTCAGATAAAAAAAAAAGTTTAAATCTTTTAAGCTAACATTTTAATAAAATTATTCAGCAATAGCAAAGTTGTCGATAAAATTGAACAAAAATACTTTCTTTTAGTTTTAGATTTTAAACTTAAATAATTATTTTACGGTTTGTTAGGTTTTAAAATTATTCCATAGATTTAAAAATATTTATTAACTGTTAGACGTATTTAAAGTATTTAAGAGTAATTTCGAGAAAACATTTTAAAAATTGGTGAGCGCAAATAAAAAAAAAAAAGGATTAATATTAAAACGTATTCTACTTGATTCAATAAAAAAGTACAGTTATTAAAATTTTTGTAAAAAGTAACTCAAAAAAATTACTTAATAACGATCGCTTTTATGTTAAAAGTTACCGAAACTCAACGAAGCGTGCTCAAGAACAGCTGCTGAAAAATAAAACGTCAATAGTTTTTCGAATAATTTTTAATAATAATTTTTAAGAATAATTTTTTCGCTGAAATATTTCTTTTATACCTATAAGATTTTTATTCTAACATTTTATTTTATTTTACTAGAAATAAAATTCCTTCAAAACGTGACAAACGCCGAGAAAATAAACAAATGTTTTTACATTTTAAAAAACGAAACATTCCAAAACATTTTTAAACAATAACATTTCTACATAAACGATTTAAAGTAGTTTTGCGGTAATTAAGTAAATTGGTGCAGTTAATGTCGATAAATATGAAAAGCAAATAAAAAGAATTTAATGACATCAAAAATCACGTCGTGCTTATGCGTCGCGCAGTTCTTATTCATTGCAAGGCCTGTATATATATATATATATATATATATATATATATATATATATATATATATATATATATATATATATATATATATATATGTATGTGTATATATATATATATATATATATATATATATATATATATATATATATATATATATATATATATATATATATATATATATATATATATATATATATATTTATATATATATATGTATATTATATATATATATATATATATATATATATATATATATATATATATATATATATATATATATATATATATATATATTAGGGCTGTACCGGATTTTGGCTCCGGCTCCGGCCGAAATCCGGCCATTTTTACAAATCCGGCCCAAATCTGGCTCCGGCAAAAATTTAGCAAATCCGGCATAATTTTAGCCGGAGTTTTGAATTTTGTCAAATATTTATTACATTTTTTTTGCCCGTGTTTACATGTATACCTAATATTTTATTTATATATAATTATTAATAAATCAATTTTTTTTGTAATTCTATATTTTATAAACCTCATATTTGTTTTGGTATTTGTATTTATTT